CGCCCCGAGTTGAGAGTCTGGAAGGGGTCCTCTGACAGTGTGGTGAGGCGCACTCAGGCCCGTGTCCGGTTAGTGGAAGACGAGGGCCGTCTCGGCTCCGCGGGTGCAGTTTGAGCTCGTTGGCCGCAGGACAGGTTGTGGGAGCAAATCCCATGTAAGGGGGACTCCTGGACATGCGGGGCCCCCGGACGGCTCCCTGCCGCTCCCCTCGCTGCCCAGACACGGCGGCGTGGTTTCTCCTCCTCGGGTTTTTTCCTTCGTGGCTTTGTTTGCCATTTTCTAGTTACAAGTAGCACGTGCCCAGTGTTACGAGTGGAAGCCCCAGACTGAAGGAAACGCCATCACCGCCTCCAGCTCACAGGCCCCTGATGCTGGGGTCACTAGGGCACCTCCGAGTCTGGAGGGGTCAGTAGAGGTTGCAGCTGCCACGGTTACAGTGTGCCAGCGCCCCTGACAGCAGGGGTCCCCGCCCGTCACACACGGGTTGCACTGCCCCTACCTTGAGAAGTTGTAAAACGGGTTGACGGCAGGGTCTGTCCATTGGAAAAGGACCCGCTGAGAAAAACCAGCAGGTGTGGAGCGGAAGTGTCGGTGGCCGGATGGGGGGCAGGCTGGGCCCCCATGCCTGAGGTCTGGTGGCCATCTGTTCAGCGGGGAGCCCTCTCAGCCCTCCTATCGCTCCGAACCCCCTTCCCTGACGTGTCCGGATGAGAAGGAAGGGAGGGTCTGGGGGCCGAGGGCGTAGGCCCCTCCTCTGTCACCCCGCACCACCCCGCACTGGGGCTGACAGTGTGGGACGTCCCGGCCTCCGTCACCGGGCTCTCTTCAGACCAGCTGTCGTTGCTGATGGGCCAGGTGCGTGTGGCAGGTGGCCTGAGCCGGCCACCACGCGACTTTCAGGGACTAGCGACAGCCAATGTCTTGCCAGCGGTCGGCGTAATCTGTCAGTTTCTGACGCAGGCACGAAGCCCTGTCCCTCAGGTGTACGGGACTGCAGCGCGGGGGTGCGGTCTGTCACGGGTCCCGAGGGTCTGCAGGGGGGGCCCACCGGACGCGGAGGCCGCCTCCCCGTAGCCTCTGTTCACCTCCTGCTTTGGGTTCTTGTAGCCGCAGCTCGTTCTGGGTGGCACCGCCCAGACGACGTCGCTCGGGACAGCGACGGCTGTGCAGACCGGGCCACCTCAGCGATCGGTCCCAGGGGCCACCACCACCTCCACAGCTGCCACGGTGAGTGCCGCCGCCCCGCGCCCCTCGGGCCTGCCACAGGCAGTGGGCCACGTCTGGCCCACGGCGTCACCTGTCTTGCCTCTCAAGGTTCCGGGGCTGGCTGGGGCCCCACGGCCCGTTCGTGCAGCTTAGAGCGCCAGCCGCAGCCCGGACACGCAAGTGCCTCGGGGTGTGCATGGCCCCCCGGCACGGGGTCTGAGAGCAGAGGCCTCAGGGGTGTCAGGAAGGGCCCCCTTCTCCTGCACGGGGCTTTCGGGCCACAGAGGACCTGCGGTGGCAGGCATAGCCGGGGCGCTGGGAGACGCGCGTGGACTGGGCAGAGCTGGGGCACAGCAGCACGGTGGCCCGTCGTGACTTGCCTGCCCGTAGCGTTGCTCTGCGTGCGGCTGTCTGAGTCGGTGGGGTCGCGCTGGACGCTTTTCCCTGCTCCTCTGTGAGCATCGCGTGTCCCCAGCAGCGGCGTCACAGCGTGACCCCCGTTGTGCGTCCGGACAGGCGTCAGGCTATCTTTACGACCACCGGCGTCACCGTGAACACCCCGCGATTCACCTCGTTCACGTTCTGGCTGTTTCCTCCGCTTCTGTCCTGAAGGGGGGACGGCGGGCCGCGGAGCGCACGCTCTGGTCTGCACCCCATCAGCAGGCCGTGGCAGTTACTGCATTTTCTCAAGTTTAGAGGAGAAATGCGCTTCTTGCCTTCACGTCTTAGTTGAAGCACAAGCGGTGACGAAGGTGTGCTTTCTGAGACTTTCCGTCCGTGTCTTTCGAACGCAGGAAACTATGGAGAACGTGAAGAAATGTAAAAACTTCCTGTCTACGTTGATAAAGCTGGCGTCGTCCGGGAAGCAGTCCACGGAGACGGCGGCCAACGTGAAGGAGCTGGTGCAGCACCTGCTGGTGCGTGGCGCGTGCCGCGTTGCCGGGGCCTCCCTGTGCGCGGCCGCCTCCCGGAGCTGTCGCTTGAGTAAAGTGCCCCTGTGCACCCTCCACCTGCAGCCTTGGCGTTGCCAGTGAGGCCGCTGCGAGGCTGGTCCGGCGCCTGAGGAAATGCCGGGGGCGCGGGATACTTGGGGAGTGTTGGGTGGCAGCTGGGTGAAGGGAACAAGAGGGAGCCCAGGCGCAGACGCCACCACCAGCTGGCTCAGGAAGGGCCGGGCGAGCCTCCAGCTGCCCCCGAGCACACCCCTGTCGGCCAGGACATGCAGCACGCTGACTTCCTGACGCCTCCGTCCAGCCCCAGCACGGGCCGGGACACAGCTGACTGTGGGCCACGAGAGCAGGGCGTCGCCGAGCGAAGGGGCGTGTGCACTCCCTCTCACGGGCATCTCAGTGCGTATTTTATTTTTCAGGACGGAAAAATTGAAGCCGAAGACTTCACTAGCAGGTTGTACCGAGAGCTTAATTCTTCACCTCAACCGTACCTCGTGCCTTTCCTGAAGGTGAGTGTGAGGCCCCTTGACCGGCTCGGGCGCCCCCAGGCATCGGAGAGGGGTGTCCGGAGGCAGGAGTGTGGTTTACAGTTGTTGCCGCTGTGTTTGAAAGGTCCAAGCGCCCTGTGAGGAATGTCCCGGTGTCCTCTTCAGAGGCTTTTCTGGGGGTTTTGAGACCCCGGGTGCTGCGGCCATTGCCCGTAAGCACAGGGCAACCCCCCGGTGGCCCGTGGCGTGACAGCTGACGGGGCACTCACCCGGGGAGCACCCAGGGCTTCAGCGGCATCGGCAGCCCCCATCAGACAGTCTCTGATGCTGTGGCGTTCTTAAGGGCATTTTAGAAATGCTGCTTTTTCTACCGAGAATAATCTTGGTGATGCACGTGTGTGTGTGAGTGAGAGAGAGAGACACACACACACACATACACACACGTATTGATACCTGACATCAGAGGCACCTCCTTCAGATCTGAAACCTACGCTCTTTGGCCTGAGAACCTTTCTCGGACGGGCTCCTTCGGGGTTTGGGGGAAGGGAACGCGCAGCCGGGCCGCCCGCCCGACCCCGTGTCTGTTTCTGCCCAGAGGAGCTTGCCCGCCTTGAGACAGCTGACCCCCGACTCGGCAGCCTTCATCCAGCAGAGCCAGCAGCAGCAGCCGCCCGCCTCGCAGGCCACCACCGCGCTCACGGCCGTGGTGCTGAGCAGCTCGGTCCAGCGCACAGCCGGGAAGACGGCGGCCAGTGTGACCAGCGCCCTCCAGCCCCCTGTCATCAGCCTCACGCAGCCCACACAGGTGGGCGCTGGCAAGCAGGGGCGGCCCACGCCGCTGGTATGCAGGCGGGAGCCCGTCGCCCCGGCTCAGGGGGACCCCCTGCAGGCGGGCTGGGGTGTCAGTCTCCACAGTTAAACCAGCGGCCGAGGCCCCGCAACCATGTAGTTCGTTTCTCAGTAAAGTAAGCGTGGTGGCTTTTGTTGGCACGTGTCCAGGGTGTTCGTGGTCAAAACGATCGACATGTTTTTGCAGTGACTGAGTTGGGTGTTGTCTTTGATGAAGGGCAGTGGCCCCATGCAGGGGACAGATGACGTGTGCTTGGTTCTGGACACGCCGGCTGGGCTGGGTGGTTCTCAGATGCCGAAACTGCTGATGGTTCGTGTCCAGTATCCTGGGCCCTGAGGCTGGAGGAAGGACGTGTTTGCTCCGGTAGCAAGATTGGTGCTTTTAAGATAATTTCAAAGAGATTCCGTTCTCATTAAAGACAGCTACAGAAACACGCCATGCAGGCTCCCTCGCGAGCACGTGGCAGGCGGTTGTGGGGTGGGTTTCACGGTGGCGCGTGTGATAGATACCCAGGCAGCGAGCCGAGAGCTCACGGGGCCCCTCGCCTGCTGGCTTACGACCTGTGGGCGTCCCATGACACACCCTCCAGGTTACCTTCGTGGGATTCAGAATCCAGCTGTGGCTGCCTGGCCCCAGAGGTTCCGGGCAAGGCCGTGTGGCCTGCAGCCGCGTGGCTTTGGGCACGCGCTTCGTGTCCCGCACAGGCGTGCTCCGTGCTGCGGCGGGCGGGCGGGAGGCCCGGGCCCCTCTCGGGGCGGTGAGCTGACCGGACGGGCAATGCGGTGAGCTGACCGGACGGGCAAGCGGGAGATGGTGCGCGGAAGTGGCGGCCGAGCGTGTGCTCAGTGGCGGAGGGAAAGGCGGGGTGCGCCGAGCAGTGGGAGCACAGCTGGCAGGGCGGGGCGCAGGCCGCGGCTGGGGGACAGGAGAGAGGCCCTTCTTTGGGGCCAAGTTCAGGGCTGGCGCGTAGGAAATCTAATCCCCGCCGCCTGCTGTGAGAGCCACCTCGCCTCAGAGAGAAAATGTTGGGGAGGGAGAGAGCCTGACCTGCAGCTCCAGGTAGCCACGTCACCCGTCACCTTCACTGACCGGTGGAGGGGGACCTCCCCACGCTGGGGCACTGAGCGCCGCCCCCTCCTCCGGGCATTGCGCTCAGCGTGCTGGTCGTGCGGTGCGTCTGCCCTGAGGAGCTGGCTCTGGCCGTGGCGCCGGACGTGGGTGGCCGCCGTCTGACCCTGCGGTCCTGTTGGGGCCGCCCCGCTCCGGGCCAGGGCAGGGCCACGGCTGGGGACGGAGTGCTGGCAGCTCTCGGCAGCGTGTGCTCACGAGGGCTGTGGGCTCTGCCTCAGGTGATCCAACCGCCACCCAAGCCTGGAGCGCTGATCCGGCCCCCACAGGTGACGTTGACGCAGACACCCATGGTGGCCCTCCGGCAGCCTCACAACCGCATCGTGCTCACCACACCCCAGCAGATCCAGCTGAACCAGCTGCAGCCAGGTAAGGGCCTCGCGGGCGTCTCACGGCCACTCGCCGGACAGCCTTGTGGTCGTGAATCGCGCTGGAGCGTGCGTCGCTGTGGCGGCCGTGTACGTGCGCTCCGGCGTGCGGCCTGCGCGTGGTGGCGGCGGCTCCCGCTTCCGCCAGCGCGGTCTCGATCCTCCCGCACACGTTCCCGCTGCCCGTGTCTGGCAGTCGTCGCTCCGGCACTCGGCTTGCGAGCTGCCGCTGCCCCCCGTACTCGAGTTAGAAACCCCAGCCTCTCTGGGACCCCGCTGTCGCGGGGTGGGGGCACGTCCCTCCCCGGGCCCCTCAGGCACTGCAGCGGCGTGCCTCGGCGGGAGGGGCACGGACGCACGTGCTTGCGTGTCGGTGGCACACGGCGTCTCTTGTCTTGCAGTCCCCGTGGTGAAGCCTGCCGTGCTACCTGGAACCAAAGCGCTGTCTGCTGTCTCGGCCCAAGCAGCTGCCGCACAGAAAAATAAACTCAAGGAGCCCGGGGGAGGTTCGTTTCGGTAAGGAGTGAGCCGCGCGGCTGGTTTCTGAGCGAAGGCGAGAGCGCCAGTCTGCAGACGTGGCACCCTGAGGGCGCTGCGGGCGTGCGTGGGATGCACCCTGCCCCTTCCAGCCCCAGAGTCCTGGGGAGCACTGTCTGGGGGTGTCTTGCGGAGCAGCGGTCTGCGTGTCGTCGTAGTGGAGTCCCGTGTCGGGGACGTGGCCGCGGGGGGGCCATGGTGATAGCTTTCGTTGCGGTGAAGCAGGAGAGAGTGTGTTTTGGGAGACTTCTGCGGGACCCCCTTTCCCGGACACTCCTTCCCCAGCGCCGTTAGGTGGCTGCAGCGGGGCTGGATGTGCGCTGGCGGGGTGGGGCGGGCCGGTGCAGGAGGTGGGGGGCAGCCTCCCTGCGGGTCCGAGGAGCAGGCGAATGGGCTGCAGCCGCCCCCGCTTCCCCCAGGAAGGGGAGGGAGGGCAGGGGGCAGCAGGTACGGAACGGGCCAGGTTGTGTTGGAAGCTCGTGGTTCAGTGGAGACAGGTCGACCTCCTGCAGGTGGAAAGTCCTCGCTCCACCCGCTGAGGGAGCAGGAGCAGACACCCGGTGGCGGCGAGCACACCGGCGCTCAGGTCCCATTTTCCTGCAGTGACCAGGCGCCTGACAAAGGCTCATTCCTGGGCCGGGATCAGAAAGCTCAAGGCACTTAGCACACGTCGTGAGGTGGGAGGCGGTGCTCGGGGCGGGCGGGCGGCCTCCCTGCTGCAGGCCACGTCTGCAGTCAGAGACTGCGCCCACGGCTGAGGCGGAGACCACGAGCCCCTGAAAATGGATACACAGATACAGTTCACGAGGAACGGGATACCCACCCACGTGCCCACGTCCTCACTGACCACGGGAGGGGCGCCCCGACGGCGGGGAAGCCGGGCAGGGACCACCGGCCGACTCGAGTACATGCCGACGAGGGACCAGCCCAGCCCCTGCGGGGGGCGGCCAGCGAGGCCACGTGACTGTGAGGTTCCTGCCGAAGACGCGTCCCATACCTCGGCAGGAGGGACGGTGGCCAGAGGGAGAACCAGGACGTGCGGCAAGACAGCTGGCCTGTGACCTCCCCGTGTCAAGGGCACGAGAGTCAAGGAAAGGCTGCGGAACGTTCCAGGCCGAAGGAGGCTGAAGAGACACGAGACGAGGTGCAGCACGTGATTCTGAGCCGGACCCTCTGCGTGGAAGGCAGTCCGGGGGCAGGCAGCCACGCTGGCGGGCACGGAGCGCGGTGGGGGCTGGTTTCCGAGGTCACCCGGTCCTGTCGGGACGCCCTTGCCGCAGGGAGCTCGCCGAGTGGTCGGGTGTGGGTGTCGGCCGGCAGCTCCCCCAGAGCGAGTCGGGAAGCGCGCCTCGTGCGCCCTCCTGGGGCTGGCGGTGGTTCTGAGCCGCGGGAGCGCGCTGGCCCGCGAGGGTTCTGCGTGGAAAGGCTCGCGAAGCAGCCAGGCGGCGCGGCTGCCCTCGGAACGCGGTGGGGCCCGCGGGGCCCTCACACACGTCCGTCCATCTGTCCGTCCGTGCGCAAAGGCTCACGTTCGGCCTCCGCCCGAGCGCGACTCCCTGTGAAAGCCCAGACTTGGGTTCAGAGAAGACGCTGGGCTTCTGCAGGTGACAGCACAGTGTGGAAGGCGGCCGGCAGGACGCACGCCTGGGGGACCCGAGCTGTGCTTCCCGCAACGTGTCCCCTGCCCCTCCGTTCACCGCCCTGCGTTGGGACCACCTGGGCATGCCCGGCGCTGCAGCCGTTGCTTAGCGAGGGTCGTCTTGTCTTCTGTTCTGAAGGGACGACGATGACATTAACGATGTTGCGTCGATGGCCGGAGTGAACCTGTCGGAAGAAAGCGCGAGAATACTGGCCACGAACTCGGAGCTGGTGGGCACCCTCACGCGGTCCTGTAAGGACGAGACCTTCCTGCTCCCGGCGCCTCTGCAGAGACGGATTCTGGAAATCGGTACGTGCCAGCAGGACTCTGCGTCCCCGCGTGGGCTTGCTGGCACCATGACTGACACTCGGCCTGGCCACCTGCCGCGTGTCCTCCCCCCGTGAAGCCTTGCATGAGCCTGGTGGTGGTGACGCTGGCCCGTGGGCCTGCCTGGCCGCCCTGCGGCTGCGAGGGGCGGTCCCTGGGGGCACGGGAAGCAGCAGTGGCCGGGGGCAGAACCCTGCCCAGACGCTTCGCTCTGCCTGACCCGCAGGTAAGAAGCATGGCATCACGGAGTTACACCCGGACGTGGTGAGCTACGTGTCTCACGCCACGCAGCAGAGGCTGCAGAACCTCGTCGAGAAAATATCGGAAACAGCTCAGCAGAAGAACTTCTCCTATAAGGTACCGCGCTGCTTCCCGAGCGGGGCATCCCGCCGCCAGGCCCCGTCCCGGGCCCACACGTGCTGAGCTCTGCGCTTCCCTGAGCGCATGGTCCTCCCGGGCTGGGGCGGGGCTGGCCTCTTCCGCCTCAGAGGGGACGGGGCCCTGCACCCCTGTCCTGCCTGGGGTTCCCAGCCAAGCCTGCAGACCGGGCCCCGGCCCACCCCCGTGACTCAGATCGTTGCCCGTTTGGTTTTGTGGACGATCAGAGGCACCATAGGCCCGGCCTCCCATGGTGCCTTCTGGATGGCGCCGTCCCTGCTCGGCCATGCGTGCCGTCCAGCAGGGCACCAGGCAGAGGTGGGCCGAGCGCACCACACAGGCGCCACTCACTGGCCCAGGCAACAGCGCCTCCTGAGCAGCAGTTAAAAGGACGGGGCCGTTTTGCTTTAAAAATGATCGTTCTTAAGAAAAGTTCAAAATGGTGCTTGAAAAATTCAAACTCTGAAGTGTATGAAGTACAGCTCCCCGAGCCTCCTCCCCCGCTGGGAACGCACAGAGCACCCCAGATGCGGGACTGGGCTGGACGGGGAGGGGTCGGGGTCTGCGTGGCACCTGTGGGAACTGGCTGCAGGGGGTGGCACACAGACTGTCCAGCGGGGTCTCCGGGTCATGACAAACAGTATTTTCACCATTTCTGTAGGATGACGACAGGTACGAGCAGGCGAGTGACGTCCGGGCTCAACTCAAGTTTTTTGAGCAGCTCGATCAGATCGAAAAACAGAGGAAGGATGAGCAGGAGAGAGAGATCTTGATGCGGGCAGCGAAGGCAAGTGCTTGTGGTGCCCTCGGCCGCGGTGCCCTCCCTTTGCCCGTCCTGGGCGCCCGCGGCGACCTCGGGGCTTCCGGGAGGCCAGAGTGGTGCCCACGGTCGGGCGGGGTTGGGGGACGAGGCCTCGGCACATGGGGCAGGACCTGGACCCCTCGGCACAGTCAGGTACCCTGGTCAGCCAGCCAGCTCCCTGCGGCTGGCAGATGTGTCACAGACCATATCTTAGTTCTCACGTCCGAAGGGGACGGATTTGCTGAAGAAGGAGGTTTTCTTTCCTCCACGACACACAACCTGAATTTTCATCTTCTGGCTTTGAGCGTTTAAAGATGTATCATGTTTTCTGTCATGACTAGATTGTTAGCGTATCATCAAGATAACATTTTAGGTGATAAACATTTTGGTTATAACTTATTTTTATTTTTTACTTCTTTGAAAAATAGTCTCGGTCCAGACAAGAAGATCCAGAACAATTAAGGTTGAAACAGAAGGCAAAGGAGGTAAGGGAGCGTTTCAGTCAGAGGATCTTCAGTGCGCACTCGAAAGCGTGCAGATTCAGCCAGAACCTCCCGAGAGTGGGGAGCGAGGCGGCCATGGCGTTTCTGTGCGCGGCGTCTCTGTGGCTGTTTAAAACGTTCGCAGAGGTGTTTTCTGGTGCCAGCAGTTTGTCCTACTTTAAATTCAGTGGTAGTTTCTCTTCGGGTGCGTTTAGTCTTCATACTTTTAAAATTTTTTCGTAATTTTTGCGTTTTCTAAGATGAGCATTTTATTATTTCCCTGATTGTATAACATGCTTACTGTTAAGAAGAAAGCAAAACGTTAAAGGAATTTTAACGTAGGAAATTTCGGCAAACCCCCGGGGTGTGTTTTTATTGCTTTCGTGGTGAGCGGGACATGCGTGAAATGACGGTCCTTGTTTCCTCTTCAAAACAAAGATGCAGCAGCAAGAGCTGGCACAGATGCGGCAGCGCGATGCCAACCTCACAGCACTGGCCGCCATCGGGCCCAGGAAAAAGAGGAAAGTGGACTCTCCAGGACCGGGATCGGGGACAGAGGTACAGGGCGCTACGGGCACTGAGGGCTGCACGGGACCATGCAGTGGGGCATCTCGAGCGGACCTCCTCGGGGGGCCAGACGCGCGTCGGCACTGGCTTCCTACATTCGCATGTGACTCTAAATTCAGGTAGACTCGTTTGTGTCACGTGAGCCAGAGGGTCTTTGCGTGAGACGGTTCATCGCCATGGTTTAGACTGACTGAGAAGAACACGGGGAGACTGTCAGCAGGGTGACCCTCACGGGTGACCGTTCTTCTGAGCCGTGGACGGGAGGGCAGCGCAGGGGACGGACAGTTCCTGGCATGCAGGAAAGGCGTTGCTCCCGGCTGTGTTTGTCCCGATTTGTTTACTTTCCGACTTGTTTGTTGTTATATCTTTGTATTTACTTATAAACCCAATCTTAAAGTATGTTGTTTTCGCTTGAAACTGTCCGTTTTTAACTAGGTCAGAGGAGGAGCAAAGGTAGCGTTTTCTGCGCGGTCTCCCCGCCCTCCTCGGGGCCCCGTCCCCTCGGCAGGAGCGCCTGCTGCCTCGAAGGAGCGCGAGTCTGTGTCTCGTGGGCAGTCTGCTGGCGGTGGGTTCTGTCCCCTCCGTTTACTGGGGACTGGTGGTATTGTACCCTCAGTTTTGAATATCAACTTCTGGGTTGACCATTTTTCTCCAACTTTTTTTTTTTAATTTAAAATTTAATTTCTCCTATATTCTTGAATAAGCCAGGCAAGTCCAGATGTGTGTCATTTGATTTTCTAGAACGACAAGGCTAAGTGATCCGAGAATTAGCGTCCTTTACATCTTCCTCTGGTCCTTGAGCTGGGCTCCTCCATGCTTCTGAGGAAATTCTCTTCTAATCGTGTCACCGTGTCCTAGATCACAGAAAAAGAAGGCCGGCTTTTGCAAACTCTTATTCTAAGAACTGATAAACCATGTTTCTGCTGCTTGGAGCCGTGGTCCCACTGTCTTCCGGGCTCCAGTGGAAGAGGTTGAAGATTCAATTTGTACCTCTGGTCCCGTGTGGAGTAGGTCTCACGTCTGCCTGTCTTGAGGTCATTGTCAAGTTTTCAGAGGTTTGTCTGTGCTGTATTTAGACCTGGGTCTCCTGACATTTAGCTGCTTGGGGTTTTTCCGTCTCTTGGTCAGTATTTTTCCTCAATTTGGACTATTCTGGCCTTGATTTCCTCAAATTCTTTTCTGTCCAGTCCTACCTTTTTTTACTGGACCTCCTGGTGACACGTCTCGGACCTCTCTTCAGACTGGGCAATTTCTTTTGTTTCATCCTTAGGTGCCCTGACCACGTGGGGTTCTGTCATCTCGTCAGCTGCTAAGCCCCTCCATTGAGGTTTATATTTGTTAGTGTATTTTGTCCGTCTAGGGTTTCCGTTTAGGGCTTTTTTATGGTTTCTCATTCTTTGATAAGATTCTTGTCTGCTCAGTTATTGAGACCATATTTTCCCATTATTCTTTGAAGCTGTTTACAGAAGCTGCTTAATGTCTTTTGTCAAGCCCAGCATTGGGGCCATCTCAGGTTTGGCCTCTGCCGGCTGCCTCTCCTCCGGGGTCTGGGGCACAGTTCCTGTTTCTCTGCGTGCCTAGTGGCGGTGGCTCGGATGACGTGTGGAGACCGTGGACTTTTTCTTTCCCTGCAGAGTGTGATTTGTGTTTCAGCAGGCAGGTCTGCCGCTCAGCTCTGTTTCTCGCGTTGGCGTTAGTGAGGGTCTGGAGCGAGCCCACAGCGTTTCTGAAACCCTCCCACCTAGCGGGACTCAGGGACTAGACGTGCAGACTGCCTTCCCTGGCCAGGCTTCAGGCTTCGTTGGGGGGTCCTGCTCAAGGGGCTGCCCCTTCCAGCTAGGAACAGGCTTTTGGGCGTCTCGGCTGCGTATCGGGAGTGTAAACGCAGTCTCTCCTCTCGGGTGGCAGGACTCCAGTGGGGCCTGTCATTTCTCGCATGTGCGTTGTGCAGTGCTCACGTGGTCTGCTCTCTCCCGACCCGCGCTCAGCCTCGGCTCCGTGGGTAACCGTGCTTACTGCTAACGACTGGCCTGCCTGCCGGTGTCTGCTTAGTCGTTTCGGTTTTCGGAATCTCATTTGCTCCCAGATTCTTTCGGAACGATTCATGGGGACTGTTCCCGAATGCTTGCCGTGCTGGTGACCGCTCGTGCCCCTTCTGCTTAAAGACCAGTTTCGGCAGCCAGAAGATCCTTGGCTCATTTTCTTCCCTTGAGAACCTTAAGTGTGTCGCTGAAGATACTGTTTCTGGGAAGCCTTGCTGTCCAGGTCTGATGCTGGCTGTGCTTCTCTGGTGTATCATGGTTCTTTTTGCTCGAAGAACTTATTTTCTTTTAAAGCCTTTGATTTTACTTGGAGTTCGTTATTCTGGATTGCGGCCTCAGGTGTGTGTTATGTTCTTGAAACACGTTTAAAACATTTTTTTGTTCAGGAATATTTTCCTTAGTTTTTTTTTTTTTTTAATATTGTTTTTCTTTTTGGAGGTTCTGTTATTCATATGTTGTATCTTCTTTACACAATCCTTTAAATCTCTCCTTTAAAAAATCTTTATACTTTTTATTCTTTTCACCTTCTTAGTTTTTTCTTAAGGCGTTATGTTTTTATTTGCTCATGTTTTCTTCAGTCTTCGTTTCTCAAATGAAATTTTCTTTTCTAATTTTCGCTCTTGACTCTCACCTCATTTCCAAGTTTTGCTATTTCTGATTTGTGTTGTTCTTTTATGCCTTTTAACGTCTTCGGCTTGTTTTGAAACAGAACATTACAGTTTTCATCTTTTTGATTGTCCTTTTGGCGTTTTTCGTCACCTGTAGGGATGTTAGTTTGCTCCTCATTCTCTCGTTTCCTGTAGTAACTTGATCTTAATGTTTTTCTGTTGCTCACTTTTACACGCATTTAGCTTTGCTGCGTTTTTACGGAGCCGTGTGGTCTGAGGTGCGTCGCATTCATGGTGACGGAAACGTGCGTGTGGGCGCGGAGCCCGTGGCCCTGCTCTCCTCTGTGTTTTCAGGACCTTTCTCTGTCTCCGTTGTCCTTGTCCCTGTCCCTGTCCTGCTCTCCTTCCCTCCAGAGTCGCTTCTGTGCGAGACCTGTGCTGACGGGGTGCCCTGGCGGGTCTGGGGAGGGTCCCCAACCCTGTGCGTGTGGGCAGAACCACCCCCGGGTGTCGGTGCTCCCCGATGAAGGCCGCTGCTGCTGGGGTTTCAGGCCTGCCGGGGCCTGGTTGCTTTCCTCTGACTTAGCGCACCGTTCAGGCATGTGGCTGCTCGTGGTTCAGCGTCACTGGTTTTCCTGTATCATCTGCTGATTGACTTCGCTACCCTGTGACCCTGTGTTTTACGTGGCCCTTCCCGGAATGTCCTCCCAGAGTCGATGAGCTGTTTCCAGAATTTTGTTAAATTCGAAGTAGTTTTAAACCTACAGAGAAGTTGCAGGAATAGTACAAAGAACTGCATTCGGGTTTTCGGTTCTGAACGTTTTATGCCATTTGCTTCTGCACCACCGCCGCGTGCTCACACTTGTGCACGTGTTCATGTCTGTGCTCACACATGCGAGACCTGGCCTCGGGCTGTCCCATCCCCCCTGTGCTAACGCTGCGAGACATTTACGTGCCTGCTGTGCAGCAGCCCTGCCTCTCAGGACGACAACTCTGGCACATGGCCGCCAGCGAGTCCTCACCCTGGTCCCGTCTCCCCAACTGTCCCGGCCGCATCTTTTTTGCTCTTTGGCCCAGAAAGGTGTGACATTCAGTAAGCACGCCCCTTAGTCTCTTCTGAATCTCCCTCTCTGGCCGTGGTTAGGGGACAGGCCTTGTGTGCTGTGGGTGACTGTCAGCCTGGGCCTGTCCGGTGTGGCCTCCCCGTGGTGGTGCCATGCTCCGTTCACCGCAGAGGCTGCGGCAGTGTTGGCCGACCTTCCCACTGCTGGCGATCTCAGCCTGGGTCGCCTGTTACGTGGGCGTCTGCTGGCGACCGCCCTGTGAAGGCGCTGTTACCCCCTAGTACTTACTAGTGTTTAGCCAGGAGGTGCTCTGGGACGCGAGGTTCCCTCCCTCATCAGACCTGCACCCAGCCCGAGCACCGGTCAGGACTCCCACCTGCACGCCGACTGCCACGGTGGGCGCCAAGCGGACCGTCTGTCGCCACACCTGGACACTTCCTGCCGCTCCTGAAAGAACAGCGTTCCCTCTTCCCGCGTGCGTGCATCAGCGCGTGGATGGGGGAGCCCTGTCGTGTTCGTGGGTCGGAATCAACACTCGTCATTTCTAGACTTGGTCAGTGGGAGCTTCTTCAGGCCGGTTTCTATATCTTTTGAGTGTCGCCCATTCTTTGAGCGTGACATTTTTCGCTGGCCGAGGGTGTCGGGTTGCCCCCTGGGCCGGCCGGCCTCCCTCGGCACGCTGGCTGCTTTCAGGGCGGCGTGGTGTCCAGAGGGCGAGGCCGGGCGCGCATGGGCTGACGGCTGCGGGAGCGCCCCGCTTCCAGGCCCCTGGGCGCTCGGGGTGGAGGCCCGCGTGCGTGGGCGTGCGCGGGCGTGTGCGCCAGCGTGTGTACCTGGCAACGTGCGTGCCGACGTGCCTGAGCATGCGTGGTGGCGTGCGTACCTGGGTACGTGCGTCTGACGTGCCCGTGAGCGTGCGTGCCAGTGTGCGTACCGACGTGCCTGTGAGCGTGCCTACGTGCCTGAGCGTGCGTGGTGGCGTGCGTACCTGGGTACGTGCGTCTGACGTGCCCGTGAGCGTGCGTGCCGGTGTGCGTACCTGTGCGTACCGACGTGCGTGCCGACGTGCTTGCCCAGCCCTGCGTCTGCAGCCGCCCTCCTCATGCGGGCTCAGAGGCGAGGCCAGCCCAGCCCCTCGGCTGCAGGCTGCCGGCGACCCTCTCTCCTTGCTTACGACTCCCTTCTCTCCCTTCTCTCCCTTCTCGGTGCGAACGCATTTCCGTTGCCGCCGTAACTAGGTTCCCCAGCGCTTTGGCCTGTGCAGCCCCTCCCTGTGC